TGGGGTGTTCAAACTCATCAGTGCTGATTTGATGACAAGATGATGGCAACGGCAAAATAGCATCTATATCTGATTCTGGATATTTTATCTGAATTTTACACACACAGAGAGACAAAAAAATCACAAGAAGACATTTAGAATTTGTTTCTGCTTATCTCTATGATTAATAAACATTATGGTCAAATAAACTATCACCACTTGAAGCAAAATTGACCACTGAAAGGCTTAGAATAGTAAGCCTTTGTTTTGAAATTCATTGCTATGAGAGACATATTGCATTTGACCGAAAGAGAGGAGGGAATTTTATATTTTAATTATGATAATTTTCATTTAGTTATAAAAGGTTTTTTTAGAAAAAGGAAGGAAGGAAGGAAGGAAGGAAGGAAGGAAGGAAGGAAGGAAGGATCACAAAATACTTGTAGAGACATTTCAACCTGTCAAGGGGCTTATAACTATTAATGATCAGATCATGTTTTCTAACTGACTGTCTTCTAGTTGTTAATCTGTAATGTACCTCCTACATACATATCTGCATAATTAATTAATTAAATGTATATATGTAGTTACCCATCTTAAAACAGCATAAAATCACATTCAACTAAAAAAAAACAATAGCAATATCCATCATGCTATTCTCTTTCAAGATAATATTATGCATAACACAACAGCAAACCATACACATGCATGAGTTAATAAAAAATAAAAGGAAACAGAACTAAAACCAACACCATTCACTATGTCTTTTCACACTTTTCTATACTTGCTTCCTTCACATTCAACTCATACACCAATTTCTGTTCTTTGAACTTCTTGCCTTTCTTTTTTCCCTGGATCTCATCCACTTCATCTATCCAGGACTTTGTTGGTCTTTCTCATGCTCTCGGTCCATTCATTTCTCCTTCATGCATTTCACTTTTGCCTTCAGTCCAGACTCATTGTTGATCCTATGTCTTCTTATTTCCCATGCATTCTTAAGTACCTGATTCTGACTGCATTTGACTTTTAGGGTCTTTTAGCGTACCCTGTTCTCACTTTCATATACCAAAGTAGGCAGTAGCACTCTTATAAACATACATTTTTCTTCTTTTGACATATATTCATTTTGCATAACAAACCAGATACCATTTGCTATTTTTCCAACTGCACCAGTGGTGGGATTCAATTTTTTCCCCTAGCGGTTCTGTGGGCGTGGCTTGGTGGGCATGACGGGAAGGATACTATAAAATCTCCATTCCCACCCCATTCCAGGGGAAGGTTACTGCAAAATCCCCATTTCCTCCCAATCAGCTGGGNTTATACTATAAAAATATAACTAGTTCATTCTTACATCTCCTTTGTCACTCAAGTCATAAGAATGTTTACTTGGAAGTAAACCCTGAATTTAAATGAATTCGTTTCTGTGAACTTTTCCCTATGAATACTATATGTCTGTTTCTTGAATCATATTATGCTTTTTTTAGATAAGCCAACCATACCAATGAGCTTTAGCAAGGCATTTTCCCTTATCACAGTAAGGAAGTTACAGCTTAGGGTAATAATAAAAATCATAAAGCAAAGATCTTAAAAACAATATTTTATTTTCAGAAATTCTTTAAGAGGTACAGTAGATTGGAGGACACCCAATACATACATACTTAGCTTGTCTATCATTGTACAACAGTGAAGTTCATATAACAATCCAGTGCCTTGTCTTTTGTTATGACCTTTTCATAAATTGTGCGTACTTTTACACATATCTATCCACATTTAAAACATAGGGAGGGGGAAATGGATAGCAACCATACTTAACATTTTCTAGCAAAGTCAGCAGATGGTTGATAGAAGGAAGTGGTGGGGATACATAATGGAGATGAACAGAGCACAAATTTCCAGTTTTCTCCTGTAGTTGCATGGGCAACTCTTTGTTTTTAAAACCATGCTAAGCTGAATGAATATGTGATTTAGAGATTCATTATGAAGGCAATTGAGTCAACTTCCTTTTTCAAATCAAACCTTCAGGGTGCCTTTGAACATATCTGCTTCTTTTGTGCATACACAAACACACATTTTACAAACTAAATCAACAATTCAAAGTCAAAACATCGGGAGGGCATATTATTGAGAACCATTGTTTTAAATTTTGACTCTGCCTTACGGGAACTGAGCAGGAGCAGTAATTTTATAAATGCAGCTCCTGCAATTCCAAATTACAGAATTTGGCAAAGTATTACCACTTCACATGATCTATTATTCTATCCCTCTTTTAATGTAGTCTAGGATGGTGTTGGCTTTTTTGGCAGCTGCAGCATACTGCTGGATCATTGGTGCAATAAATGGGATGGCCACTTGGGTTAGGAGATTTATATTTCTGCCTAAGGAATACCCAGTAGTTTGTTTACTTGGTAAAAGATTTTAACTTTCTTCTCCATTTCTGGATTATTCTGTGATGACAAAAGAAGATTGACACAAATGGATTTGGAGATGCTACTAGTCATGTTGGGAGCACCAAAGTGCTTCTGGGTTGAAATGATTGACCATTGAATGGGGGACGACCAGTTGGGGGCTCCTTTCATGTCTCCATTAAGTTGCCCATCAAAGTAGTACCCATTTATCTACTCACAGTTGCCTGCTTTCAAACTGCTGGGTCTGCAGCGGCTAAAGCCTGTGACGGGAGTTCACCCCATCCTGCGGTAGCAACTGGGTCTTGAATGAGAGCCTACTGATCATAGTCCTGTGGCCTCACCTCTGGAGTCACCACACTCCCTGGTTTGGAGATATGGTGGCTTTTTAGGTGCTGTGCTATCATGGAAAAGATGTAAAACCTATTCATCGTTTTCCAAATCTTTGAGTCTTTCTCCACAATTCCTTCAAAAATTGCTATTGAAAAGTTATTTTAATATTACAAAAAGGGAGCCTTATTAAAGGGTAATCATATTAATCATATTAAGAGAAGCACAATTAAGCTGTCTTAGCTCAGCTAAACATATATGGTAACTAGAAGAAATTGCTTTAAGACCTACAAAAGACTATTTTCAAGTAGATTCTTATTTCCCCATTTCAAAACTTATCCCCAGGATTAAATAACTATTGCATAAAATAATATCTCTGAATAAAGAATATATAGTATGAATAAATCATATATATGCACTTTACAAGGACGTGAGACATGATAAGTAGACTTCTTGTTTCTGCCCTTTAGATACAGCCAGATTGCTTCCCATAAGTCAGTCTGGTATTGTGTCAGAAATATCACACAGGTAATGCCTTAAAAACATTCTTCAAACTTCTTTTCTGAAATTCTTGCTCAGGAATCTAAGAACTTATCCATTTTGCTTCTTAAGACCAACAGTATAAAGTTTTACCTAGTCAGCAGAACAAGATCCAGTGTTTCAGGTTCATTCAAGCAAATAAAACATTTTCCCCTCTTCTTGAAATTCAGTGCTGCCTACAAGTACAATTTGTTTTTTTCATGACGATAAACATTCTTTTTAGATCCTCCCATAACAGACACAGTAGTAATTGTTACCCTATGGACTGCATTAGATAATCACATCTTAATAAACAAAAATGCAAGCAGCAATTAAACCTTAAAGTATCTAATTAACCATTTATGTTCCTTTTGTCCAAATTGGAAAACTATATAGTGGAAAATATTGAAAATTTTAAAAACATGAACATTCATTTAAGATTCAGAAGGAACTAATAAGCATAAATCTTTTATTATATTAGCCACTGCCAGTGACATGAGACAGACCAATATGGTTTGTTCAGGAAACTATTAAAAAAATAACCATCTTGTGTATTGAGTAAACTAAAATACTATTCATTCAAGCATGAGGAAGGCAAGGTATAAACATCTAAATCTCTCTGATTGTACTTTGATCAGACTGGAAAAGAGAGAGATGAACTCTTCAAGTCTGAGTCCATATCACCACCTTCTTTTGAGGCAAGAACAAAAATGGTGTGTGTGTGTGTGAGAGGGGGGGAGGGAGGGAGTCTTGCAGGAAATGAGTGGGATTATAGTGATTAGGCCATGATTGGTCAAAAACATGCCTCACTGATTAAGTCATAATGGTTGACTTTATAAAATATGCAAATCTATGATTCCTCTTCAAGTACAGGTAATCCTTGAGCTATGACTGAAATAAAACCTGCCCATTACAGTTACATGTTGCAATGGTAATTAAATGAAGAACTCGGCTAATAACTTTTTCCTCAGCTCTCCCAATGAATCATTACATGAGCATACATGTCATAAGTGGAAGATGGGGTGGATCAGGGTTGGGGGGAGCTGTTGGGAGCCCCAGCCCTGCTTGTCCTTGCTCTCCCAAGGCCTCTCCCATCGCCCCAAATGTCCCTTAGTCTGTTTCCTGCTCCTTGTGTCCCCACAATTGGGTCTTTTCCAATTTCCACCAGGTCTCCCCAGGCACTAAGCCTGATTCCCACCCTACTAGACCAAACACCCTTCTCCTCACTTTCCTTTTGAAGAATTCTGAGGCCTTCCAGAGGGCTGGACTGAATTGCTTCATTGTGAGGCCGCGTGGCGTGATTCTCGAAACAGCTGGCATGTTTCCAGTGGCTGAATTGTATTTTGATATTGCTGCCACTTCCAGAATAGCGCCATATGGCCAAGCGATGCATTTTGCTGCTTTAATGTGGTTTGCACAACGCTGCAGAAGAGTTCGACAATTTTCAGAAACTTCTGTATTACTGTGCAGGCCTCATTAAGGCAAGGTTACTTAGTTAATTTAAGAAGTCCTATTATTAGGATGGCACACTGTATTCCATGTAGTTAATTGCAGGTATGCTCATGTGATCAAAATTGAGAGGTTTGGCAATCGGCATGTATTCATGACAGTGTCCCGTGGTCATGTGATCACCTTTTACGCCCCTCTGACAAGCAAACTCAATGAGGAAGCCAGATTCACTTAATAACCGTGTTACTAATTTAATAACTGCAGTGATTCACTTAACAAATGTGGCAAGAAAGGTCGTAAAATGGCGCAAAGCACGCTTAATAACTGTCTTGCTTAGCAACTGACATTTTGGGTTTAATTGCTGTCGTATGTCAAGGACTTCCTGTAAAGAAATTTATTGAGCAGAGATCATTCTGTGTATTCAGCCCAGGTTCTGTGCCTCTCCACAACTGGTAAGGATCTCCAGGTATTCCCAGACTTCAACAGAAGGAATAGAAATTTATTACTTATCTTCTCTCTAGGGATGGCTACTGGGTTGACAAATTCTTCTAAACTAATGTTTGTTTTAAATATAGTTTACTCAGCAAGCCATAGCAACATATTTCACCTATCACAGTTGCCCAACCACTAGGATAATACTAGGATAGCTCCAGTGTTTTTGATTGTATTTTAATAACTCAGTAATAACTCAAAGATTTTCAGAGACTTCTTGGTTTAACTGCAGCTTGCAGAATGAGGCTACAGGTGTTAAGTCTCTCACGTGCTATGATACGATCATCTGAACCCGTTATTTCCCAACCTCAACTTAAACAAATAAAATGAAAAAGCACCAAGGGATTCCCCCCACCCTCCCCCAAATAGTGATAATGGCTCAGCTTAGCAGTGTTCTGCCTTGATTTTCTTCTTTGTTAAACAAGTTTCAGAACCTACGTGGAAATCCAAATGCTCCACAGACCATTATAGACATTTGGCTCATTCACAGTCTTACATGCGTAAGCTTCTTGTTCTTTGAAACGGCTGGAAAGGCCTTTTAAATGCCCACATCAACAGTGGTTTCTGTTTATTTTTTTCTGGAAAAAGAACTGCTTCACTTTCAGGAGTAGGAAAACGTTCTTTATATACATCAGGATAAGATTTCTGAAACTGAAAAGGAATAACCTGGGTTAAGGAAGTTGCTTTAGTTTGTTCACTAGAAGCAAACAATGTAAAATCCTTATCTCTCACTGTAAAAAAGAAATATGTGACATATATTTTGTCAAACCCTATGGCACAATCCATAGTACTTAAGTTATTTATTTATTTGTATCCCACCTGTATTGTTTTTATAAATAATTCAAGACAGCAAGCATGTCCAATACACTATCCTCCTCTTATTTTCCATGCAACAACCCTGTTGTTTTTGTTATCTCCACAATCCAAATATACAAACACATCAGAGGTGAATTCCTACCTTTCAGCCGAGTAGGTAGTAACTTGGCCGGCCACGCCCCCGAACTGGTTCTATCTTGTTTTTTGCTACTGCGCTTCTTTTACCACTACGCTTGCGCACATCAAGCGCATGCGCACCCGAAGCACACACATGCCCAAAGTGCATCCCTGAGCGAACTGGCAGTAACAGAAGCTGGAACTCATCCCTGACACACATGTATATATCCATTTTGTTTTGAAACAGAAATACTGGGATTATTTCATTATTGTAAATTCAACCAAAATGATTAAGACATGAATGAGACTATATTATTTAAACTAAAGACTAAAACATAATAATTTTGGCAAGCAAATTCATATTTATAGGCTCCTGCCTCACACTTAAGAATATGTTTGTAAGTCACCCAGAGTTGCTTATCAGCGAGATGGGCAGAATACCACCATTATTTATTTAATAAATAAAATAACAAATAGAATATATTTTATTCTATACAATCTTTTATAAGCTACGAGAACCTGCAATAAGACTAATATTTACAAATTGTAAACATTCTAGAAAAAAAAACATTTATATTTAAATATGAAGGAAAATCCTAAGAACCACTAATTTTAAAAGAAGATTTCCCTTACTGATGCATCTGTCTTGTTGATATTGTTGAAAACTAAAATAAATATTGGGCAATTTCTGATCTCACTTAAGACATGGCAAACCTGAACAGCTGTCAAGGTTTTGTTATGCATTAAAT